GTCTCCGAGGAGATCGAGGTGCTGGAAATGGTGAGGGAGGACGAAGCGGCCCCGACGTCCCTGGCGCTCTCCGACCCGGAGCAACCGGCCACCGAACTAGAGTCGGCGGCCGAGGAGTGCAGCTGGGCCGGGCTCTTCTCCTTCCAGGACCTGCGCGCGGTGCACCAGCAGCTGTGCTCCGTGAACTCGCAGCTGGAGCCCTGCCTGCCCGTCTTCCCCGAGGAGCCCTCGGGTATGTGGACCGTGCTCTTTGGGGGCGCCCCGGAGATGACGGAGCAGGAGATCGACACTCTGTGTTACCAGCTCCAGGTCTACCTGGGCCACGGCTTGGATACCTGCGGTTGGAAGATCCTCTCCCAGGTACTATTCACTGAGACCGACGACCCCGAGGAGTATTACGAAAGCCTCAGCGAGCTGCGGCAGAAGGGCTATGAAGAAGTGCTCCAGCGGGCCAGGAAGCGCATCCAGGAGGTAAGTTGGAGTTTCAGTCAGCTTTTCGTTACTCGTTACCAAAGGCTGGAGTCTCGGTCTACTAGAGTCTAGAGTGCTCTAGACGGTGCACATTTGGGACACTTGTTTTTCTAGACATGGTTAAAGGAAGACGACGAGTTATTGTGACTTGCCTCCCCCTTCATTCCTTTCAGTGGTAGGAAAACTGGCTTTCCTTAACTGGCCCTCGGCAGAACCTTTGGTAAGTCTTCAGATATCCTCTCCCATTTATCAGATAGGTTCTGTGTTGTAAGTGCTCTGTTTATGTACTGCCACTAAGATTAAAGCCACTTTGGGGGGGAAAAGGCGCCCCGTAAATGTAAGCGAAGTGAGAATTTATTTCTCTTTGCTCTCTAAAGCTCTTTCTAGCAATAACTACCCAGGCATTAACCCTGGTGTCATTTCTTTTTTTTTTTTTTTTAAATATATTTTATTGATTTTTTACAGAGAGGAAGGGAGAGGGATAGAGAGCTAGAAACATCGATGAGAGAGACATCGATCAGCTGCCTCCTGCACATCTCCTACTGGGGATGTGCCCGCAACCCAGGTACATGCCCTTGACCGGAATCGAACCTGGGACCTTTCAGTCCGCAGGCCGACGCTCTATCCACTGAGCCAAACCGGTCAGGGCCCTGGTGTCATTTCTTGGTGACATGCCCATTTACTCAAAATTGTTTTATGGAGTAAAGTTGGTTTGCTTTTACCTCCATATGTAGTTTGGCAACTTAGGCAAATTGTAAATTCATTGTCCTCCAAGTAAGTGGCCTGTGCAAAGGAAAAAGCACTAAGTGACATTTGGTTGCAAATGTTTTCTTAAAAGTTTTAGACACACTTCAGGAATATTTCAAGTCTTTACAGATCGTGTTTCACTTCTGTTTTAAGGAGAAAAAATGCCTTGGGCAGGAATGTTTAGTATACTTTTGTACTTAGGGATCAAAAAGTAGTGCAGTATAGTGCAATGTGGGGAAAAGATCGGAGTGGATATACATAGGGAGTTCTACAATCCTAAATATATATAATTTGAGGTTATGCTTACAGCTTCTGAAAACTTCACTGAAAAAGTATTTTCACATATATTCAGTTTCTTCTAATGGACACTAAAAGATACTTTCTCAGAGCAATTTATTATTTTTAGTATCAGTACCAATGAGGTTGGACTTGGGTAGGTAAATAGTGTTTATATTCCTCACATTGTGTTGTCATCTGTTAACCTTGTCTATATTTATATAATACTTGAATACTGCTATTGAGGCCAGGAAGTTGGAGCCTTCTGGTTTTTAGAATATGGTCTTTCTTTGCTAGATTTGAGGATTTAGGAAATAACTCTTCCTCACCCCACAGTGTTCTCATACAACTTCCTGAATCCAGGTTTTCACTCCTTCCGATTAGTGTATTTTATGCTAAACATCACCCACCTGTAATATGATCCTAGTGTTCCAGGGTTTTTATTTCCTTTGGTATCATCTTCTTTCTGGAGTCTGTTCTACCTAGGATTGTTTTTTGTAAGGGACAGAAATCTTAAATGGCCACATACATTCTCTTTAGAGTATTTCTAATATTGACCTGTATTTCATTGAAATTTTAAGAACAAAGTTAGTGCTTCTTTCTCTTACGTGACTTATACATATGTATTATACTTCGTATTTTTTAATCCCTAAGTCTTATAGGCATGTCTGATTTTATTTTATTAATACTTCAGAAAAAGTTATTTTGTCTTTTTTTAATTCAAATTGGGTAAAAAATGTAGGCTGCCAAAAGTATATAGTTAGTTGCAGTTTTCTAGAACCCTTTCATGGGGGAGGGTGTTTACATTTTTAAAAACGTATTTTTTACTAATTAAGTAATGTTGACCATCATATTTTATTCTGTTTAATAAAGAAATTTTTAAGCTTCTAAGAAGATTTTGTGTGTTGGGAAACACCTCAAAATAAATAAAATTTAGTATAAATTCATTGAACGTTAAATACATAAACTTTTGGTGCTTCATTTAGTTGACTTGAATAATATTTTAAAAACAGCTGTCAAGGAAATAAACAGGTTCAGTTTTAATGCCCTCCTGATTTCTACTGGAAGGTTCTGTTGAAATTATGAGAGTCAATGGGGGCAAAGTGTGGTGTGATTAATTAGTGATGTTTGCCATGGGCATGATAATGGGGATGTATAACATACCAGCCATGTTTTTTGTTCCCCCGCTGCTTAAATCTTTGCTGTCTTAATATTTTGCACTAATTTTTTTTGGTAGGTAAAATCTTTATGGAATGTGTCATTTTGAGTTATTAATTCTATTGAGTTTAGTAATTACAGCTAATTCAATGTTTTTGTATTTCCACTTTTCAAGTTGACCTGTGAGTTGGCTAGTTTTTTAAGCTAGGTGTATTTGCTAAATCAGACACATTCTTAGGTATAAGTTACTTTAAAAATGTAGTTTTTTGGTCGTGTTATTTCTTTAATTTCTGTGACTCTATTTTCTGGTTTCTTTTTCTACAGAATTGCTTTTCCTATCCATGTAAAGGTTTCACCTTTTTTTTTTTTTAATCCTTACCTGAGGATATTTGTCCATTGATTTTTAGAGAGAGGGAAAGACAGAGAGAAGCATCAATGTGAGAGTAACACATCAATTGGTTGCCTTCTGCACAGCCCTGGGCCAGGTAGGAGTCTGCAACCGAGAATAGAACCGAACCCAGGACCCTCTGGTCCACAGGCCGATGCTCTATGAACTGTGCCAGAGCTGTTAGGGCTAATGGTTTCATCTTAAAAACTACACCTGTTTTTGTTCAGAATGGTCAGTAAATTGTTGAAAGGAGTGTGTGTGTGTGTTTTTTTTAATAGAACAGACTGTGCAAATAGATTATAAACTTTTCGAGGTTACTGGCCTTGACAATATCTTGGAATTCTCTTCTTTGCCACGCGCTAGTTCAGGGCTACACATCTTGTGAGCATTCTTAATATTAGTGGGCAAAGGACACCAGCGGTTGTTTTTAGTATTGCAAGAATTTAAAGGGTTTGGAAGAAATGTCCTGTTAATGTCAAGTTGTGGGTAAATAAGTTTTTATAAAGTGACAAATGTAAATTACTCAAGGGACCATGCTATTGAAAAGCTAGGAGAAAGATCTCTTAAAAATGTAAATGATTTCCTAAATAAGGGGTCTTTATCTGAGTTCCCTATAAATTGAGGGGAACTATATTTGGACTTCAATGGGCATGTAACATTTTATATGCATAGGCATGTTTGCATTTTTGGAGAAAGGCTTTTATCAAACTCCTAAATGTGTTTTTCAAAAAGAGCCTTAAAACCACAAATGTAAATTATGTGCTTTGTAAATTAGCACCCATGGCTGGTATGCTTTGTAAACAATATTGGAGTTTAATTTTTGGAATACACTTAAGATTGAGTTATAAGAAGTATTCCTTTATCCTTGGCTTTTGAAATATTGAAGAATTAAACCTTAAGTTTTCTGCTAAAAGTTTTTGTTAATGATTCACAAATTTGGTCATCTGACTGGAAATAAGTTTGGAAAGAGCTATAATTTATACAGTACTTAGAACTTATTTTTAGATTACATATGAATTGTATACCACTCAGAACCTCAGTCTTGAATATAAATGAAGTGTCAAATTTATTATAGGGTAGGTTTGTCTTGGACTTTTACAAGAGTTTACTGTAAATAATGCTATTTATACAACAGGCGCTCAATCCCTGAGTGAATTAAATGCCACCAAGGTCTCTTGGAATGGTTTCAGCAATAGACCAGGTCATTGGTCAGAGCTGAAGATTGTATTATAGTGTGTGTGCAATGGGTGGCCCATACTGTGGCTTACCTTTGATGACTTAGATTTTGTAATAATGGTTTCTGTATAAGGACAATTATTCTTGAAATTATTATTTGTGGTCTTTTAGATAACAAACCTTAATAACTATGATGGTAGGCTTGATTAAGATCTATAAATCAGTGTTCACTTAGGAATTTATTATGTTTGTAAAACTGTCCTCAATTCTAACTTCTTTCTAGTTGAAACCACTGTTTGAAAGCAGCAGATGTTTTCATAAGTAGCCATCCACATAAAGCACACAGTAACCAGAGCCTACCCAGGGTTTGGAGTCAGAACGACCTGGATTCGAATATAGACTTACCACCTCTGTAACCTGCTTAGTTATTTAAACTCTTAAAACAGGGAAATGGGGAAAATACTTAAAGGATATTTTAAGATTTAATTAAGACAGTATGAAAAAGTGCCCAACAAAGTGTCTGATATTTATAAAGGAGACTTCCAAGAAGTGTTAATGGTCTCTTTCATGTAATAAGAATTCTCTAGAGTTTTCAACTCAATATTTCTCTCAGGCAATGTAACTGATTTATTGGCTACTTAGGTATTGGGCACTTCACATTCTCCTTACATCCTCCCCACTACCTTTTGAGCTAAGTGGTGTTTTGTTTTTACATATTTTGCTGAAGCAGAAGTTGAAACTTAAAGATGTTACACAGACTTGGTCAAGGTTAAACAACTAAGGAGTGACCAAATTCAGATTCAAACATAGATTTATCTTAGTCCAACTGTGTGCCCTTCCTGCCATTCCTGGTTTTCCTAAAGACATTTGTATGTTAAAATGACCTAGCCTGTTTCGCTTAGTGGATAGAGCGTTTGTCGGAGGACTGAGAGGTTGAGGATTTGATTGAGGTCAAGGGCACATACCTGAATTGCAGGTCGCTCCCCCGACCCAACCAATAGATGTGTCTCTCTCACATGATGTTTCTCTTGTGTCTCTCTCCCTTCCTTCCTCTCTGCTTTAAGAAATCAATGGAAAAATTTCTCTGGGTGAGGATTAACAACAACAGCAAAAAGTGACTCAGCCAAAAACAAATCCTAACTTCTGAGGTTATTTAACAGAAGGAGCAAGGAGCTCTAACAAGACTGCTTATTACCTCTCCTCTCAATTATGACTTTCCTAAGTTTTCTGGAAAACAAAGGTTAGCTATAAAACT